CATCACAAATTTTCATGGCACACTAGCAATAGTTATTCCCACGCGCCTATACATGTATGACATTTCTAGCGGCACACCGGTTGAGAACCACTGATCTATGTTCTAAGTTATTACCCTGGAAAAGTAATGTCCATTTGGTACAAAATTTAAATCAATCCAAGGTTCCATTGCTCGTTGTTTGACCATCTCTTGCATTTTTTTCTTTTCACTTTTTTTACCTGGCCTATCTTTGAACTTTGCAATAATCTGTTCACTTTCTTCTTCTTCCTCCTCAGACTCTAAATAATAATGACATTTAGTACAAATGAATATACAATTTTAAAGATTAAGATTTTCATTGTTGTTTTACCGTTTTGAGAAGACTTCTTATTTTCATCCTTTGGATCAATCTTATCAATGTGAGATAATTTGGGGAGCATGTTTAATGTTTTCTTCAATGGACATAAATGAATACTTTTTCCAGATGTATACATTATCATATCAGCTGTATTTGACGTTGTATTGTGGGATTCAAAGCTTAAGTGATCAATCATACCGCTATATTAATAACACATATATAATTTTAATTTGCAGAATCAAAATAACATATCAGGTTAAGAACAAGCACATTGAATTTATAACATGTAAATTATTTAACAATTGCCGCTATTACAGTTATAACAATTTCAATATAAACCTAAATTTGGCTAAATAAAATACATTAATATGTTTTTATAATTTAAGTTTACAATATAGAAATTTATGTTTAAACCTGGGATAGTTGCTTTTATCTTTGGAAGTTTTATCCATTTCAACAGCCAACTCTTGGCCATGACCTCTATCATAATTTTGATCAGTATTAAGCGCATAAGATATCTCCAACTCTTCACATTCTGATTTATATCTACACTATAAAAAAATAAAACGGATAAATAAGCACAGAACAAATTCTGAGTTACTATAGTTTGTTGAACCCTTACCACCACAGATAAATACCATTTTAAATAAATACCCGCCTGAATTTTCATGTCCAAAAGGCCCATACCCAATTTTTTTTTTAAGTACCAGTATAGTTTAGTTTACCAATATTTATTGGATAAAATGATTACTACATAATTACTTTGGAAATTCATTTTACTTTTTTATAACATTTAAACTGAATAATAAATTACAATTTGAATACATTCTAGTTTAAAAATATGTGGGTAAATATTTATAATATAATATTATTATTAATGATTGAATTATGTTAGAGGTCAATACCTCAATGGTGCCAATTTTATATTGAAAACCATGAACCATAAGTATAAAAATAAAAATATTTAAGCTTTAATTTTTTGTGAATGCAGAACCATTTAATGAGGGCTGATCTCAAAAGAGAGACGATCCTCCCTAATGTGGGAGATCTGACCACATTACAAATAGGCAATCTTCTATTGACAGTATGTAAATAATCCAAAAATTAAAAATATACTATCAATACTTCTTTGTAGTTATCATGATATCTTCAATCTATTTAAATCTAAATACACGTTTAATTTTATTTCATTATATTATTAGGTATATCAATATGATATTATAGTAGGATCGTTTTCATTATTTGCAACCCACTTGTATGGGATCAATTTATCCCTGGTCTAACAATCGTGTAATTAAACCAGATCTCTATAGGTGGTGAAAAAAATTGTTTTCTACCCTTTTATTTATGAGCTACTTAAAGTGTTTATGCTAGCAAATCGAGAGATGTGTTAGATTTTAACTATCCAAGAAACTAGCAAGCGTAGTGAAACAAAATAGTGAGATGTAGATAATGGAAAAAATGTTAACAATACGTTGTGTACCTAGTATCAAACACATACTTATCTCATACATGATATTTTAAAATCTTTTAAAAAAAAAATTCAATGAGTAATTATCTGCTAAGATATGATACGGGCACTCAACTTAAACAAATGAAATGTGTGAAAACGGTTATCAAGATATGACAGTTAAAGGATTACTAGAAAATAGTGTCTTATACAGGGTGCAGCATAAGTCGGTTCCCCAATTAACACAACACATTAAATATGTATATTTTATATAGATTTATAAAAAAATTAATTAATTATAAATTAATAACAATAATAAGTAGTTTTGCGATAACAAAACAGCGGGAACTGACTTATGCCGCACCTGTATTTTTGTAATAATTTACTTGTAAATATGTAATATTAGTGAATAATTATTAATTATCAACTATGCCAGGATTAATTATAACAATATACTATTTTCATTTACTTGTATATTAAAAGTTTTGTTAAGGAAGGTGTTAAAAAGGTTGAATAAGACAGATAGTGTGTAGTGGGGCGTTAACAAACATGTACCGATATTAATGAACATACCTGGGTAACATTCGACGACAGTAATTGATCATTTTTAGATACTCTTGTAGGATAGTGTAACAATAATAATTGCATTGCATCATTGCTCAAAAATACAGGTATCTGAATAAAGTTTTTAATTCTATTAGTTCAGATAACATAATATGTAAAATATTATGGGAATTTTAATAATGTCGACTTGGACTACACTCACTTCTTTAATTATTTCATCGTCATCCGCTTCATTATTCATCGCAACAGAAGCTCAAGACTGGACTGAAAGATCGAAATAACTAGATAGTAGAACCTAAAAATTTGTCAAAATTGAATAACTCGCTACTCAGTTGTAACTTGTAGACGGCAGCCGGCTGTTGAGTTTTAAATTCCTTATCAGATAATCACTAATCAGACTTTTTAAGAAGCTGCAGCCTGTAAAAAAACTACGGCTTATATCATTATTATCATGGAAAAAAATATGATCCGAGTTTGACTTTGAATAACATTATCACTGGCCACCAAATTTAATTTAACTCTAATTAATTTAAACAACAACACTAGGGAAAATATACCAAATGGACATAGCTAATAAATTAATAGGCAACTTTATTTTTTACTTTAGGTGTCCATAAATCTATATTACCTATTCGTATATTATACTATATTCTTCAAATATAAACATATAGTGGCTGTAGTGTTTACAGCTTTATGCTGTAACAACATTATCATGACATCCAAAATAAATTTCTGTCGAACCAATAAACAGCAAAATCTGTTTACTAACATGCTGTACACAATTTCGTATGTAGTTTAAGACATCATATCTATTTATGCAACTTAACTAATTAATAATACAACACTTACAACTATTTAGGTGGGTAGACGATTTTTTTTATGAGTATTTAATGTACAAATTTTACGAGGATTCATCATAATCTCGACAATTAGCAAATTATTTTGATTAAAAAATTCATAACATTCTTCTTTTTTTATTATCTAAGCATTTGAAAATTGTATACAAGTAATTCCTACATTTTTCTGTATATCAAAAACAAAAAATGTCAAATGGAAAGTTAAATTAAATTTTTATGGGCGTTCGAAATTCAAATTTTTACAACATTGGATATTTACTTCATTTCTCATGGAGTGATTTTCTTATTCTTTTGTAATTAAAAAAAAAATAACCGTAGATACTTGAAATTTCCATCACATGTTTATTTTATCATTCTCTATACTTGGTAAAATTTTCAAATGATTTGGATTCGTTTTGAGATGCTCATAGGTGTTTTTAAATTTCAATTTTCAATTTTAGATTCTGAGAGAAGCAATGACGTGTGTTTTTTAAACATTTTTTTCAGTCATCACGTTTTGGGGCAGTAAAAATGCCTCGATTTTCTTCAAAAGCATCTTTTCTGGTAAGAAAGTGAATCTAGTTGGTACTTTGGGGGGGGGGGAGGGTTAAATGTAAAAAATTCCCAATTGTTTTCAAAAGCAACCGGAAAAACGAACAAAATTTTTAGTCAAACTCAGTTTTTGAACAAATTGATTTTGTTTTTTAGTTTAACTCTAAAAAAAATAACTGTTTATAGATTAAATTTTCACTGAAATATGTTTGTATTAGCAATTTCCATGCACCATAACATTTTTGAAATATATAACGCGTCTTTTTTTAAATATTTATAGTCATAAGAAAATTTTGAGTAATTTTCTTTTAATTTTTGTCGATATAATTGTATTTGTTGGGTCAAACAGCTTGTAACTTGAATACAAGGCACCTATTATATTGTTAAAATGTTATTTGAAAAATATTAAAAAAACATAATACATAGATACAATTTTTTTTTATAAGCATTTGAAGTTCAAATTTTGACAACATTTATCAAATTTGAAATTTAAAAATTTTTAGTTATATTATTATTTATTACTGTATTTAAAAAAATATATTTGTGGGTACCAAACAATTTTAAAGTGCCTATATTATCATTTATCACTTACAAATATGCAAATAATATTAATTCAACCTACAGGCTACAGAACTAATAATAACAAGTAATAACAACAATGTAAATATAATATATAATATCCTAGGCTGATAAACCATCTCTGCTAAATATCGTTTTTCGTAAACAATGATATTATATTGTTAAATTCAAACCCATTTGTAACCTACTACACAGCAAAGCATCACCCACTTATCGGTTTATTTACTTAACAAGTTTTACACTATATAGTCCTGGAAGATATGTAAGAAACATTTTTATGAATACAATTATGAAATTAATTTTATTTCCGTCAAGTGTATTTTACAGCAGATTTTACTCATTTCTCAAAAATCGTTACACCACAAATACAATTTTTTTATCCTACACTTATTTTAAACATCTCTGGATGATTGGATAATGAGTAAGACATGCTGATGTCAACTGATGCATTACACAACAGATGTATGTTGTTGAATAGTAAAGGAAGAATGTACTTTTACTTATTTCTTATCACAATAATACATTTATGTAAATTGTAATAGATGGGCTTTTGTATTTGGATGAAGATTGGCAGTTCAATATTTTTTTTTTTAATATAACAGCTTAAAATAAAAATATATAAGCAAAATAAATTTTATTAAAAACCAGATTGTCAATAAGAAAACAATTTAAAAAGTCTTGATAAGCTATAGGTATGTTTTTTTATAAACAATATAATTAGTACTCAATTATTTGTTTTACAATTTAAGTGTTTCATAAGTCCAAATAATTAGTGTTGGTCATATCCTGTCGTAATTTACCTAAATCATTTAAGAGTGTTCTTAATTGTTGTTCGTCTTGTTGCCGTTCTTCTAATTGGTTAGTTAATATGTTTTGAATACTGCAAAATATTGAAAGAAACAAGATAATATTGATATATTTTTATACTTAGTATAAAAACTAAATTAAAATATAACTTAAAAATTACAAGTTAATAAAATCTCTAACATTGATTGCCATGCAGCCTGCAGTTAGATGGCTGTTTTTCTTACAGAGCTGATTTCTATTTTTTATACCATGCATGCATTGTGATTTCAATTATTTAGTTTTATTTATTATGTATGTAGTACATTTTATGTGTTTTTAAGTGTATAATTTTTTAATATGTTTAAAGCAACTAATACATCATTTTAATGGTGTATGCAGATATTTTTAATGGGAGGGGTTTTATCAAAAATGATATGTACATGTATATACACAAAATATATTTTTAATTTTTTTGATCTATACATATGAATATTATGGTGAGCGTGGACGTGGGGGGTGTTCACTCAACCCCTCTTATGTGTACACCACTGTAACATTTGATGCAAAATTTTACCCAATAAAATGCATTATTAGTCTAACCCCACAGAAAATGTGTGATAAAGTGCAATCACAGGTCTCCATAAAAAAACTTATGTTCTGATACTGTGGAAACGTTATCAGTGTTATATGGAAGTCAATGTTTAAATTTAAATTTAAATTTCAAAGTTTTAATTTTGAGAATAAACAAACTATTTTATAATTAATTTTTAAAATATAATAATTATTTACTTTTGTTTATTGTTAAGCAAATGTTTATTGGTTTTATTTTCATGAAATTTTGTGTACATTTGGTTAATTTTTCTTACAGACGCTATCCACCGCTCTTTGAAGAACTTACAAGACTTATTGGCTTCTTCAATTTTATACTCTAAATTTGACTAAACATTATATGTATTTATATTATTTAAAAAATGTATGAAATTGTACTTATTTATTCCTATAACTTATAGAATTTGAATAACATACAATTTTTTTCTCTAACTCTTGTACTAGTAATCCACAATTGGTATCGACATCATATTTCAGGGCTTCGTTTTCTTTTTTCAATAGAATATTAAATTTTTCTGATTTATGCAATTTAGCTTCCAATTTAGAAAATGTATTATTCAATTCATTAATTGTTTGCGTATTGGAAGACTGTATATTTTGGACTAAAGCAATGTATTTATTTTCCATACTATCTTTTTGGCAGGTAACCTACAAAACCTCAATACACTTTATTTTAACAGGAAAAAAAACAATTAAAAATATAAAATCAATTATCATACTTCTAGTTCTTTAGCTGTAACTATAGAATCCCTTTCTTTTAACAAATTAGACTTTTTGTCCAAATCTTTAGCTAATTCTTTACATTTTGACATAGCATGGGTTAGTTTCTCTTCGGTGTGTTTTCTATCATCTGACCATTTATTTTTCAAATCTCTTAATAGTAGTTCTTCTTTTGTTTTTATCTGTGTAAACAGAGTAAAATAAATTGTGATGTTAATATTATCAACAGTATCAATAAATAATAACCTTTTCATTAAATAACAGCATTTGTTTGTCCTTCCAATCTTCTAATTCTTCAATTAATTTTTGTTGAATACACGTGAATATCTTTCTAAAGCAAAATATAATTTAATCAAAAATAATAAATCTTGACAATTCTATTTGAAACTTACTGGGAATTATTATTTTCAGGTAAACTTTTTATTTGTTCTGACAAATTATTTACAACAGATTTTGGTAAAACTATTTCAACGTTTTCTTCAAAACATTTAATTTCATCTACTGAAAAAATTTAAGATATGATGATACCTAATATATTAACACTGATGAAATTCATTTATTATATTTGTGTATTCATACATAGAAGTAGTAAATTTAGACCGTTTTTAACTGGTATCAATGTTTCAACATTAAAGGTATGTAAACATTTATCAATATCATTAGCTATATTAGCAGTAATATTGATATACTTTTACTTTTGAATGTTTTGAAGTTTGATTGCAATATTATTTTACTATGCAATAAAAAATTACAATAACTATCAACCAATAAATATTATATGAACATAAACAGATAGTAGGTAGGTACCTTTTTTCAAATTGTCTTTAATCTTCGGTTTTAAATTTTTTATTTTTTCATTTGATTTGTCAATAGCTTTACCATTATAATCTTCAATTCGTAATGATAAATTAAGATGATAACTACCAATTTTTGAACCTATTAATTTGTATGTTTTATTTTCTATCTAAAATTAAAAAGTTTATTTTAAAACTATTGGTATTTAATGAACAATAAATTATTGAATAACATATTCTTATGTATGGAAATCTATCATTACTTACACGGTCATTGGATGTTGGATTAATAGTTTGTGCCCCTTTCACTTTTAATAATAAATAACCAAGCATTTCTTTTGAACTAGATTTGTTTGTTGGAATATGGAAGCACTCAATTTTTATAGATGTATTAGACATTTTTGACCTAAAGTAATATGAAATAATATTCATTAATATATTACTAATACCTATTATGTAGACAAATCAAATAATAACTTTTACTTTTTTAATGTAGCATTATCCATGTACCATATAATATCTGAGGTAATTTTCAATTCATTTTGATGTACTGGAATTTCAGGTGTTATAATTTTTTGCTTCATGAACGTTGCATGTATTACAACAGATCCTCTAAGCAAACCAAATCCATTAGCTTAAAAGTAAAATTGTATATACATTACTATAGTACATAGGTACAATAATATAAATATGAATAATTGATGTTTGTAATTTATATTAATAATTTGTCTATACTATTCCAGCCTTCTTTTCCCTAAATTAAATTATTATTTATAAATTGATTACAATCAGAGAATCAGAATAAACGAATTTATTAAATCAACAGTTATTATTGAATTAATAATGTACAACGTATAAATTAATTGAATAGTTTTATAGTTATGGCCATGTTAAAATATTCAGAGTTAGAAGTTTCCATATCAATAAAATAAAAACATTAGATTTAACTTAACATAATATATTTTACTTTTATTTTTATTTTTTCTAATTACTAAATATTACTTTTATACATTGATTAATGATGTATATATATATTTTTAATCTATTGGTTGTATTATTTATATTAATAAAAGTTAATTGAACATTCAAGTTTCAAGTAATAACATTATACAATTCAGTTTGTTATACTTCATATGTTATAGAATTTGTATTTTAATTAATAAACCTGATGTTATTTGTAAAGTTATCGTTTTATCCATGCAACTCAAACTTTGATGTTGGTTATCCATATTAAATTTCTGTTGTTTCAGAATGTTATTGTTAATTATAAATGAAATTTTTTATATTTATTTAAACATTTCCTAAATTGTAAATATCATACATACAGTAAAGTAAAATGTTTATATCACTAGGAAATAGGTACATGGTGTATTATTGTTAATATCAATACATCATGGATGATAAGTTCAACTTGGAATAAACAATACATTATATTATTAGTGGCCACAAAATGTAAATAAAATTGTTTTGTTTAATTCAGTACTTGCATTTCACATACAGATCAACTTTTATCTAATTCATTTATACAATAACCCTCCGCAAAATAACATTGTTTAAGTTAACAGAAATTCTTCTTATTTTCGTGTATTTTCTATAAAACTATAATGCTTTCTGCTACAACTAATAGACAGTGTTTATAAAATCAATAGACAACATAATTTTCATCTTCGAAATTCTGAGTTGAAACTTCTTTACTGCAGGGAGAAAATGTTTATTTTCGTTTGCTTAACAATTTTTTTTTAACCCAAATACACTTATAAAATGTTTTTACAGGTGAATATTATTTAAAGCTATTTAATTGTGATCATTTTGACAATACTTTATAATTACATTAGTTAATATGATTCATTTTCAACTGCAGCTAAAATAATTGTATAGTATTATATTTGTATTTTAGGTACTCCCACAATAACAGAAAATGTTTTTATCCAGATATTAATTAATATTATCATTTTTTTATGAAATAAATATTAATTCATTATAAATTAATATTATGTGGTTAAGTTAAATGGATTTTGAATATCATAATTTTGTAAATCACAACGTTCATATGGTGACGTTAAAACTTTTTAAAGACACCAATAATTGTATTTTTACTGGTATTACAGGTACAACCCAAACTATGAATTAGAATTTAAAAAGCAAGTAACAGCAAAGTTATACGGTATTTTAATTTTTAAGCAATAATAGTGCTATTGTTATTTTTAAATAATAATATTCAACATACTGGATTAAAAATTAGAGTACCTATCATAAAATCCCAACGAGAGAACACTGAAAATGTTTTTACCTTTCACTTTTGATAATAAGTCAGTTTACTCTAATATTTAAGATCATAACACAAAGTCAGAAAATTGGGGGAAGTATAATCGACTGAACTAAATGGTCTGAATGATTAAATTAATTATTTAGCCACAAAATTGATTAATTTAGAATTGCTGAACGTACATTTTCCGTTAGTAAGCAGAGACAATGTCATGAAGCTTTATCATGTAAACTTAGTAAATATAATAAACACAATATTATGATAAAATCGTACATCGTTATATTATCATGAATTCATGAATAAACTATTAAGTAGGTAAAACACAGCCGTCTGTCACACAGGACAAGGTCATAAACTCGTAGATAATATTATAGATTCTGTAACATCGTTCAACACCGTTCAACGTCTATGGACTGAAAACTATGAACACTTTAATATAATATTACTATTATTTTTTCAGGGTCGTTGAATTTATCGCAGAAACGTGTTTGAAATATCATAAATTTTCCTTATCAGTTAACACACACACACACACACACACACTTATAATTATCACATAATATTATTTAGTAATCAAATTACAAACGTTTTTGCAATATTTTGTTATACTGTTTCCCATCTAGCTACTGTAATTATTACGTTTATAAATACAAAGGATCTACTGACCCACTGCTGAATTTTTGAACAATAGCATTACTCGTTTTCGTAGAGATTATCATATTATTTGTTCCTGTTCGTTTGTCGTTCATTTTTTGCGTGTCTGTAATTTCTGTCTCTTCATAATTTACATACCTACATACTTACTTCGAGAAATTGTTTTCGACGACGTGAATTCAACTGGTTGATTTCGATCTCATGAACAGTATCCAGGTACATTCAGTCATCTAATTGAAAATAGTATCTACATCAAAACTACCATGCAAAACGTTATCAATAGCGTGAAAGGCACTGCGTTAGGTTTTGCTGGATTTTTGACTCCAGTTTTAAAGGTATTTATTATTTTTTTGTGTAGGTATAGAAATTGTGATGGACTTAAATAACGATTTTAATCAAATTATGTCTTGCCTTCAAACTTCAAATGTTTTCTTGAGTATAAATTGTAGACAAAAAGCATATAACATATCTACTGAGTGGACTGTGACTAGGTGTTAACTGTGATATTTGTAATAGTAACAAAATTTGTAAATAACATCAACGACTGTTGGAATTTATATTTATATTGTAAATGGATCTGTGTATTTAATAGGAATCAAAATTTAAAGAAACTGGCGTAGTGACACCAAATGAGTTTGTTATTGCTGGTGACCACTTGGTTCATACATGTCCAACATGGGAATGGGCTTGTGGTGACGAGTGCAAGACTAAATCTTATTTACCCAAAAACAAACAATATTTAATTACTAGAAATGTTCCATGTGCACGCCGATGTAAACAAGTAAATAATATGGTGCAATTGATTTAAAAATAAATATAATATGTTGTCTATATCTACCTACTTAGATTATTACATTTTTTAATTCATTAGATTGAAAACTGTGAAGTTCAAGAAAATATTGTGGAATCTGAAGATGGAACTGAAGGATGGGTTGAGACTTATCATTTTGATTCTGCTCTCTCACCTTTGAGTGAAAAAGTATCTGGGATATCATTAGAAGTATGTAAGACTATTAAGACTAATTTATGATTCAAAAAGTAAACGGCAACTTAAAAATATTTTTAAAAACACAAAATCATAATGAATGTTTATAAAAGTACCCAATAACTAGGTTTCATAACCAAAACATTTGTAAATAAATCATGTTTTACAACATTAATTACTTGTTTAATTTAGAAAATGACTGTGAAGATATTAGGTAACTAAAAAGTTATAAGAATCTGACAGTCTGTAACTCTTGTGTAAGTTCTAATATATGTGCATACAAAAATATGAAGGAACTTCTTTTCCTGCTTTTTACTTATAAGCAATACAAACTCATCTTCAGGTATTTCCAGACAGTTTAAAACCCTATAAAAAAAATGTATACTACTTAGTACCTTCAGTACTTATTATACTGACTATAAGGCTATTACCAGCCTCACTATGCAACCACTGTTACTCCCTTAATCTAATATTTTTTTATGACATCATCTCTTAATTAGATTGTCCTTCCCTCCTCTCACTCATCAGTTCAATGTACCCTTACATTCCACCAGTGAAAACACTCAATTTCTGATTCCATATGACCAACTAACTATTTAGTAAATATAGTATAGTTAGCACTTAGCAGTGTTGGGTAGTAACATAACGCAAATTACAAATTACTGTGACGCAATTACTTTTTCAGTAAAGCAGTAGTAATTGCATTACATTTTACTCTAAGTTACGCAATTGTAATGTAATTACATTTTCAAAGTAATTTCTATGAAGTAACACACTAAAGCGTTATTTTCCATGTTATTTATTAAAATAATAGTTTTAAAAGTATTACAAAAACAAGCCGATAAGATATCCAGAATCAGTTTTATTTATTTTTGATTTCATCCAATCCGATAATAGTTAACAATATTATTAAACATTCCAGGAATTAATATTATTTATCATTAGCTGAAAAAAAAGAGTTTGGCTTAAAAATAAAATTGAATTATGATTTACTACTATACTTCCTGTCTACCTATATGGTTATATACCAAAATATAAATTGTAATAATACTAATAATATAACTTATTATATGAATACGAATAACATAGATATTACAATTACTTATTACTAGTATTATAGACATGTGTAGTTTGAGTTTAAACCATATAATAGATTAGATGATAGTACATTAAGATAATATTATTTTGTGATTTGTACAGAATACTTCTAATATTGCTAGGTCTATGATTGTAAAATACATCATAATATGAATTTAATATGGTTAAAAAAAAATGATAACTGTTATCAGAGATAAAAAAAAAGTAACGTTATTTGTAACGCACTACTTTATTTATGAAAAAGTAAAGTAACCTGAAAAAAACAATTTTAGGTAACGGAAATGTAATTTAAATAAAAACATTTGAAGTAACGAGTAATGTAATTCCATTACTTTTTAAAAGTAATTTACCCAACGCTGAAAGTAGTAAATTACTCAACTGTATTATGAAATATATTTAAACTGTTTTTTTTATAATTCAATAAATTAAAAAGTTCAAGTAACATATTTAATAACAAAATAGTCATAAAATTAATATAGTATAAGAACTAGTCACTATCTAACTTTATAGTGTGTTAAATATTAATACCAGTTTTCCCCATGTTTTTTAAAAACCTATTTGTACCTACGGATTATTACATAATAGTTACAATTCACGTAGATACAAACTGGTTAAGAGAGTGTCAGCTCAATATTTAGTTTCTCTCTTAGACCCACGCATAACATACCTAAAACCCTTCACCTAAAATCTAATTTTTATGATTTTTGAGTAAAATCTTAGGGTAAAATTATAAAGGATACAATTTTTATGGGTATGTGACATATGTTTTATATTTTTTATTATTATTTGACCTTCAAAATAAAATGGAAAATTGTAAATTTAAATTATGTTTAAATTATTTTGAGACAATATTTAGACAAATTCGTAGAAAGACAAAACAAAGACTCGTTAATAAATTATTAACATGTAAATTCCATATCATATGCTCATCAAAAGTTAATCCCAAATAATAGATTCCTTTGACCATAAGGATTTTCATTTTATATTATTGCACATGTCATTGTTATCACAAGAATGTGTTGTTAATTTATCTAAGTTCAGTTTGTCTTATAATATTAATCTTGAAGTTCATTAATATAGTTTAAATAGCTGATTAATTTCAATACAAAGTATAATCATTTGTATTTTATTAAATTAATGCTCTACACCATAATTTTAATATTTAAATGTTTGTAGGGAAACCTGAACAGTTTAAATGTTACAAGTCTTAACGGGGATAATCATGTTTTAAATAGTGCAACCAATGAAAACTCAAATGTAATTAATGATTGTGCCAATTATGACAATGATGATAACGACGACGATGAGGAAGAAGGTGATGCTGTAGATATGGATGCATTTGTAGAAAGTGGTTTGCTTGAAGATGATTCGGTTAGTTTATTTCATACATATCTATTAAAGTTTTCTTATTTAATCATTGAAGAATAGGGTTAACATATTTTAGATCTTCTAAACTCTAAATTATGCATGTATATGTGGCCAAAAAATATCAAAGTATGCCCTTAAAACATTCAAATATGACATAAAACTAATTTAAAAATAAATTAATTTGAATTATGAACATTTCTTTAAGGTTTTTGAACAAGAACTAGCATTGGTTCTCAGATAACAAATTTTTATTAGATCTTTATTCAAAATGTATGCACATTAAATTTTTTTAATAAATTGATTTTTACATTTTTTTTTCTAATAAATTATGCCCTTTCACTGTTTTTTCCATAATATGTATTTAAACATTTAGCACTATCCAAAAATATGCAAAATAAAGTTAAACTAATCTGATTCTATTTCAAACAAAACTAACTTATATCTTGGTCTACAATTGTCACAATTAAAAGAAAATATATATGTCATAAACATCATAACCTTCCTTTTTAAAATATTTTTTGTATTGTATAAATATTTTAAATGTAAAAATAATTGCTAAGAGTTTCATAACAACTTTTTTTTTTTAATCATACCTTCTACTTTGTATTAAGTACTTAAAGCCAATGTCATATATGCCAATCACCTATACATGTAAGCAAATGAAAATTAAATAACAAATAGTGGATCACATTTTAAGTTATATTAAAATGTTATAAAAAAAACCTATAGCAAACATGTGCAGAATAAAATAAAAATGAATACTTATTTAGTACAGTAGTAGATATACCAGGTGATTCTTTTATCAAAGAACACTCAATATTTCAACAACTTCTATTAATTGACAATATTTATTTAATATTTAATATTGATTTATAAAAAAATATGAAGCTGAATTTTGCAACTGTATTGTTTTTATAGGTGACTATTTATCCGGAACACACAAAAGAAAAAAAGTTATCAAGCTCATCTGTTGATGAAATATTAAAAACCCGAACATACGATTTACATATTACTTATGACAAATTCTACCAAACTCCAAGACTGTGGCTTTATGGTTATAATGAAGTAAGTATTTTAAAATTGTATTGTATTCCAAATAAAACTAAGTAGTTTATAACTTTAAACTCTTTAAATTTTCTGTGAAATTCTTGTCTTTCCGATAAAAAACTTAATTACATTTTTTTAACACAGATAATGGTTTGTAAAATGTTGATAATATAAAATTCATGATTTAAATACTAAATCATACTGTGATTTTAAAAAAATGTCACAAATGTTACTTTACATATAATATGTAATGCTATTGTTTCCTCAATTTATAGTAATTGGATGATTATTAAATTATACTCACACAAAAAGATTCTAAAATATATTTGTATTCATTATCCAATAAGGGTATTGAATATCAAATTATAAAGCTAGCTCACTTGTTTTTATGATAAAAATAATTGTTTATGAATACTAGAATCAAGGACCATTAAGTGTTGAAGAAATGTATGAAGATGTAAGTCAAGATTATGCAAAGAAAACTGTTACCATGGAATCTCACCCACATGTTCCAGGTCCTTCTATGGCTTCAATACATCCTTGCAAGTATGTTCATTTTCAATAAAGTATGGTTAACCTACATAACTACGAAAGTATTTTTCTTTTATTCATTCACTTATTATTAATTTTTATATTAATATCCATAACATTTAGTTCTATACTATCATATTTTCCCGGTAGACAATTTAGTGTAATATGCTTTGCTCATTCTTTTTATGTGCGACCAGCATATTGATTTGACAAAATAATATTATTCATAAATGTTTAAAAGCATTTATAAGCAATTATTATAATTAGAAATTTAATAAAAATGTTCATGTAAATGATAATTGAAAACTGGCATTATAAAAAAATCTGAACAAGCCTATGATTTATAGCAAATAAAATGATAAAATGAATTCACTTATAAATAATTTGTTGGTATTTTCTTTTTTTTATACAATTATAATAACTAAATATGTATTGTTAAATCCCAATAGTATTTGTACTTTATAAATGCTAAAGAAGGCTACTCTAATATCAATAAGAAAATTATTGTTTCTTTTTATAATACATCTTCAAATTTAAGTAATGAACATAATGAACCACTTGACTTGAAGTTTGAAAATCCATTGTGCCCCTCCCCTGTAGATACGCACATATGTTTAAAATAACAATTAATATTATTATAAAAATACTATTTAAATACTATTAACAATTTTGTAATTAATATTGAGTTGTTTAGTATCTAGTTAATGATTTTCAAATATTTACAGGCATGCTGATATTATGAAAAAGCTAATCCAAATGGTGACCGACGGTGGGAGAGATTTAGGAGTGCACATGTACTTAATTATATTTTTGAAATTTGTTCAATCAGTCATTCCAACTATAGATTATGATTACACTCAAAATATTAATTTATAGTAGGAGTTGAGTTGTTCAATTGAGATGATGCTACCCATTTGTTTTTGTTGTCTCTGTCTTACCTACTCACAACATAGCAAATTTTCGTTCACTAGTTTGAAGAGTGTGCCATTAGTTTTTATATTAGAATGAATTTAAGTATCATCAAACTTTCATGTTAGAACATTATCTATGCTTAAACGTTTCCGGATTGTTGGATATTTTAATTTTCATGCGAGATATAAGCATTTTTTAATTGTGTTATTTCACATACTCGTATCTTCCTCGAAAATTAAAATATCGAAAATCTGCCGACGTTTAATCATAGATAATATTCTTACCTAAAACTTTGATAATAGGTCAATTCACTCTAATATCAAAAATAACCGCACACTATTGAAACTAGTGAACGAAAATGTTCTATATCCTACGCGTGTAAGACAAAGACAACAAATGTATGGGTAGCATTCTCTTAATATGATTCTATGAAAATATCAGAGTATAAAATTTATTTTAAATCAAAATTCAATCTATAATAATGATTAATTGATGATTGATCCAACTAAAATCAACTGTTTATGTGGCTAAGTAATCAATCTACTAAATTGTATTAACAAGCCATTATTATTTTAGTTACTATAATTTATGTTAATAATAAGAAGTATAAATTAACATATTTAACAAAAAACTTATTTTGATTGGAAAGTTTTCGTTAGCAATAAAAAACAGTTAAAAGAAAACATTTTTACAAATGTATTTATTTTACTTATACCTGTAAGGTAAAAATATTATTTGTACTTATTTTTATATTGATCATTGATGAGATTTCACACTGTATAAAATCTATTATGACATAATGTTTATTCAATTATTTGCGGTTGACTTTTAACTTAAAATTACAAATTATTTAGAATTCTTCTTTAAGATTCTTATTGTTATGTTTTTTTAAAGTTTTCATTGTTGAAATATATGCCATTTGTTTATAGTTTATTTTTAATCTATTGTTGCTTATAAAATATAATAACAAATATTTTATTTACTTTAATTTTATCTTATGGACAGTGTCACCCTAGCCACACAAATAGCTGGTATAAATACTGTATTGTACCAGAACTTCAACTTTTAATTTTCCTGCATTGTCTTTATTCAAGTCACTCCAACAAACATAACTTGTGGTTTTGCATGTATACATACTTTTATTAGAATTGGAGCCCATGAGATATTTTCAATATGCAGTGAAACTTCCATTTGATAAAATTTTCTGTTTAACGAATTATTTTTGAGGACCATGATCTTCATTGTTATAATTATGCACAAATTAATCTCTGTATAAGGATATTGATGTTTCTTTATAATCAATAGACTATTTGATAACAAATCTGTTTTTGTAATTGTTGTCACTATCAAATAGTATTGTTCTTCAATACCTACAATTTATTTTATTCGATGTTAATAAGACATTAATAAGCACGCCAGTTAATTTGGCGCAGTGCTTCAGTTTCAATGTTAACTTATACAATCAATTTTCTTTAAAAAATTTGAAACGTAAATGTTTACTAAATGTTGACACTTACTAATTATTTCTTTTAAAAAGGTTTTTAAAAAGTATACTTAATATGTATAATATGATGTATTATGATGTTTTTTTTTCCAATACAATATCAATTCTATTAGAAAAATTCCTCTATATTACAATTTTTGTTTGTTCCCCGTGATACTGTGTTATATGGAGTTTCACTGTAATAGGTTGGGATTCTTAAACATAATTATATAGCTGCCTAAAAGGTTCATGATTCCTGGTATAGTGTTTACCTTGGAGGTTTGTGTAGAAACAACATACCTAATAATGTATTATTGCTAGACAGTCTCTTTGGTTTTATAAAAAATTGCGTTACTAATAATGCTACTTGAATGATAAAGATGTGAACAAAAGGTTTTAAACATCTGAAAGCAACGTTCTTAATGATAACATTCCATAACAACTAAAGCTTAGCTTAAATCGGTTAACGCAATGAGTTATAATGATTATTTGATGATAACTTGGATATATTCAACAAAATATTCTTGTAAAACGTTTGTATTATAATAATGTTACCTATCGTTCTATTTTTGTTTGAAATACTAAATTTAAGCCTCTTTTGGAATTTGGTATGTATAATAAAATACTTTGAAGTGGATATTGTTGAAGAAAGCAGAGATATTCTGTATTATCCATATGCAAATGACAAAAGTATTTAATCATTCATCCAAAGTTTAAAAAAATTAGGATTAAGTAAAAAGATTAGATACAAAATCTATTTAAAAACTATGATTATATATTTTTTAGATTTTTTTATTTAGGTACAGTAACTATAAACTACTAGGTATTTGTTAAAAACCTTGAATTATTTTTTCAACCCCTGGGTACAAAAATTGATTTCTAAATTTTCGAGGTTTTGATGGAGTTTGTCAAAATTTAAATTTTAAAGTATACATGTTTATACTTTTATAGAAATGAAAATCATGTTTATGTATCTTTTATATTTTTTTACTACCATTCCAACACTTCGTGATGAACTTGGTTATCAACTTTCAAGTTTTTTGACCTAACGAAACAATATCATTGACATTATATACAGAAAAATAAACTAAAAAAATTAAAAATGTATAATAATTGCTTAAAAAGAAATTGCATCATAATTCGTAATATTTTACAGAAATTGAAAAAATTAACATTTGGTAAAGTATCTAAGGTTATTTCGTATTCTTTTTTGAAATGCAACAAAATAAAAAAAAATGATTGATAAGAATTCGTTAATTTACGGGTGAATATTAAAAGCCGATAAAATTGTATACTATTGTAACACTCATAAAAAAATAAATTTGACTTTCCAGTAAACTTTTTTAGATTCTGAGCGGAGCGATGAATGTATTGATTTTACAATGATGTGTGTTTTTATATTTATTTATTAATTTTTTGTGTCTGTCATCACGGTTTCTTGCAGTAAAAATTCTTCGATTGTAGGCACTCGAAATTTACACCAAATGTTCATTTCATCAATTCATATGCTTTATAAAATTTTCAAGCGTTTAAAGCTGTTGCATGACGGATATTTTCAATTTTCATTTTTTTTTTATACATTTTAATTAAATTTTATTGATCAAATAGCATGAAAATGTAATACAAAACTCTTGATAAATTGTTACGACAGCAGTTAAAATTTTTTAAAAATACTTAAACATAAAACACTGTTTTTTTTATTGTCATTTAAAGTTCATATTTTGACAATATTTATCAAATCGAAAATTGAAAATGATTTTATAGTTAAAAATGTATACAATTTTCAATTTTTACAGCTAATAGGATTGAAAATTTAAAACATGGTTCCACTTAAGTAGTTTTTTCGTAACTAAGAAATCTAAAAAATATATGAATACAGTTATTTTTTACAGACATTTTTAAGTTCAAATTTGAACAAAATTGCATATTAACACAAAGAATAACGTTTATCATTTTGTTGTAATTCTTTTCCAAAACAGCCCAATTTTACACAGGTGTATTAATGTATTTAATATTTTCCAGCATCACTGATAATTTAATAAGTAATAACTATATAAAATATCCTAAACTAGTAAACTGACATACCGTCTCCATTAAGAATCGTTTTTCGAATACAATGATTTGATATCATGGAATCAAATTTAATACCATCCATTACAGCGACCTCTTAGGCACCTAATGTACAGCAGAGCGACATCCACTTACCCGCTTTTTCGACTAGCATTCGGGCTCAGTAGATATTTTAGAGTTATAACTTTTATGTTTGAAATATTTTGACAAAAGTAACAAGTGTTAGGTTTTCGTTTCTTTCAAAATTTGAATCTATGCAAAAAGCTAAGAAATGTTACTGTGAAGTCCTTATAATAATATAGGTAACAATAATTATCTAAAACTATAAAATAATAGGTATTGATAGGTAAATATTGTAGAATTGTAGTCCAATGTACCATGTATACGTAAATATATTTACCTATGTATCGTGTCACATTGACTTCACAGTCCGATAGTCGTACACTATGGTCATACGACATACGAACATAATATTATAATTTATATTATACCCTGCAGGCAGCGTACGCATATCGTATAACAATGAAAAATGATTATGATTTTTGAATTGTATGATTTGTTGTGAAATTGTTGAAATTGAGCATAAAATGTGGTTCGATCCCCATCTCCTCAGTTCTCAATTAAAGTCTGAGATTAAGCACCGGCATCGGTATTCGGTACATTCCAATAATATGTAATAATTATTAATAATAATCTACGATGTTAAATTCCTAAACATTAATTATTTACTTCAGTTATGCGCAACCAGTACTCAGGAGGAATAAATAAAAATGCAATAAATTATTGAAATTTTTTTTTCTTTATTTATGTTTTCCTTGCATTAATTAACTTCACTTAGACCATAGAGATTCAATATGTTTCACATTTATATATCAGATTTCATTGGTTACAAGATTACTGGGTAATAATTTAACAGAGTGCAATATAAGGTTTTTACACAATTTTAACATTATCTACATTATTTACAATATGTAATTTGTTAGATATGATTTATTTTATTTTATTTTATTTAAAGCATCGTGCATCGTGGGGAAGAGTTAGTTGAAGTCTGCGACTGTTAGGACTAATATTCAACCCGAAAATGATTGTATAACCACACGTGTGTAATTATTGTCTACCGAGCACGCAGGACGGTGTCGACGTCTTCACAAGGGAGCGGCGGCGTAAAACGCTTGAAATTTTTTACCAGAGCGAGAGCCATAGCCCTAGGCATATCTATTACATAAATAATAATAATTGTTATATTTATTTATACGTCTAAGCCCTAAGGTGAGACTGGTGAGAGCTGTTTAGTGTTTATGGTCGGTGGGGGACGATTGCCGATAAGATAATAAGAAGAACTTGTTAGTTATAGTTGTAGAGTTGTACGCAGCGTACATAAAAATATTAATAATAATAATAATAATAATAATATACTCTATGGCACCACCACGTCCGTTGATAACAGCATATGATAAGAAGCACCGTGTGTCGGGTGGAGATAAACACGACGATTCGCGATTATCGTATTGTCAGCGTCCAGAGTACTTCTTGTCGTTTGCACCTACATAAAATTGCAGTGACAGAATCGTCACTTACGACTGCCGGCCAACTGAATTTTCTTGAACTTTACATCGGTGAGTAAATCGTTTTGTAGATTGTAAATCGTATGCGCTCTGGT